GTGTTGTTTCCGCGTTTTCCTGGTCCCATGATGTAATAAACTGTTGTGTTTGGTATGTTTGGTATGTACAGCCAGCATTAGCAATTATTGTAAAAAAAATACATTTAAATAACTGCAACTTGATCGTCTGAGTCAAACTAAAGGCAGCCATACTACCATGTGATGTTTAACCATGAACATCAGAAGTAATGCACGTACGAAGAAAAAAAAAACATACCAAATGTTAGTATCAATATAGTTTATGAACAAAAAAGAATTGTGTGTGGGTCGAACTTTGGTTATTGTGGTTATTTTTTTCATGTATATTACTTCGAACTACCATGATTCATTTATTGTATATATATATATATAAAGATTTTTAACTTAATAATATTTACAATAGAGGTGTGGTCTTGACATTTGACATGTTATTAATCATGACCCAAGTACAGCAAAATACCAGGCAGGTCAGTAACTTTGCCAACAGTCTAAAAAATACATCACACAGAATAGTCGTAAATAACTTATCAGCAACATGACAACATATCTATGTATCCAGTGACTAACATTTTACCCAGTAGAGGAGTAAATAGTGAATAGACTTCAAGTGACTCAAATTTGTTCAGGCGATGAGATAAGAAATTGTTGGGGTAAATTTTGAGCAATATTAAGCCACGAAACCGACAATGGTCCACACTTTTAAATAGATTGGGTAGATAGAAAGGTCAGCTCATATTTAAAATAAGTCAGCGCGCTCTTTAAAAAACGAAGTGTAAAAAAAGCTTTTAATACATGCTGTGCATATTAGTATGTTAAAGCGGGGGAGACGTCACTTGAGCAAGCGTCAGATGGTCATAGCGTGTCATTGTTTACAAACAAGCGTCTACCCTGTGCGCAGGTAGACCCCGCTTCAAGATTTTAACTGGAAAGTGTGCTCTTACCATTATCTCTGCTATTATTTGACAATTCTGATTTCAGTGACGTCATTGATCTACTCACTAATCACACCCAGCGATACTTCCTGTATCCTTTCTTATTTGAATGTTATCCCGCTACAAGAAAATGTGACGGCAGCGTATCGTGATTTACTAATCTCGTCTCCGTGATTGACGATGATGTTTATTTCACGAGATATGCACTGTCCCGCACCACCACAACTACTCCCCCTCAACCATTATGACATTGCCTCCATGATCAAGCTAAAATTTCGCTATATTTGAGGTCGTCATATAATAAATATACGTTTGCATAACCTGTGTCACAAGGTATTCTATTGGTACGTGACAACTGTGATGCTACAGCTGTCACAGATCGTTTAATGATTTTCAAGTAGTGGGTGTGTAGCAGGCTTGGCATACACACACCCTACCTATGTCGTGCCAACTCAGCCAGGTAGCGTATCTAGCCAGTCAACGATACGATCACCTCACATCTAAAGTAGCGTCGTTTGGCTGAAATTGAAGCTATGATGACCCCAGACCGCGGTCAAGGTCAAATAAGTCCATGCAAATAAAAGAGATACACCGATCAAATGTTGTACTTGCCGATTTTTGTTAGAAGAAGCATTACACTGAGAACGTGAATCACAACCCACTAGCCAAAATTTTTGGGAGTTTCGCCCTGGAGTTTGGCTTCTGGTTTAAACGTCCATTTCGGATTGAATCACGTTGAATTAATTTCTATTTCACCACAAAAAAAGTGAATTCAGATTGAACAAATATTAAATAACCCAAATATCCAATTCGATCTGATAGATTGAGACGAATGAGTGTCTGAATGGAAATAACAATTTTGTTAATGAGCCTGCCACGGAATGGGTAGATATAAATGGCTACCACGCCGCTGAGGATCACTGATAACTACGAACTCCATAAAGTAGAACACGTGACTAATGCTTACCTTTTTCTCGTCATTGCGGGAACCACGGTCGCTGCTATCGATGGAGCTATTATCTTCACCCATGGTGAATTGTCTCTTGGTGTAGGTAAGTTTTTTTTTCGTACTCCGTCTCAGTTAATTCTGTCTCTGATGCGCTCGTTTGACCCTTCCCAACTTCGACCCAGTGAGTTAATGATTGCCCATCTATCTGTGTAGATAGTTACGAATCCATGATATACACTGTCATTGTGATTGGTTGAATACGTATTTGAACTCTTAGTGAGTGACTAGAGCAGGTACACGCTGATCGGGACATTTCGCTATTCCTGGAATGTATAAACTCTCCATCCTCATCTCCCACTGGATGGTGCTCCACGGTGATCGACCAGAATACACCAAAAAGCAACAGACCTACACGCAGATGAGTAAACGGTTATAATGTCACCCATCACAATTCAAACAAACATATTTAGGATAGAGTTGATTAAATCCACATTTAATTGTAAACAAATCCGTGCTTTATGGTGGTCAAGAATTTACCGCGATTCATCTATGTAAATCTTTGTTTTCGGTGTGCCATTGGAGAATGCAGCACCGTTGATATTTTTCCAACGAGTAACCAATGATTTGAGGTCAAACGTTGTTACATCAATTGAAGCGCCAAACTCGTAGCTGTGAGTCATGTTTAATGTCGATCATATATATGCGACGTGTTCTCAAGGGAAGAAGCACAAATCAATGAATATAATGTGTGAAGGCGTTCTAATGAGATTAATGCTTGAAATGTACATGTACCCGCTCTCCGCGTACACGCGGTGATGTTTCTTGCCGTGTTCACGTAAGAGATTTACAAACGAATGCTGTCACACTGTGTCAATATGAACGCGTATGTTAAGATAGAACGCTACACAAAAATAACAAAAAATAACGTTATTTTCTTTATTTTTACATATTTGATATTTCAGGTCACGAGGACGAAGAAAATTGAATAAAAATATGGGGTCATCGTACTCGGTTCGAAAAAAAAACGGTGCACAAAATTGGAGTAAAATTGCACGTTTTGTTTGTTTTAAAACATTTTACGATTTTTTTTTCATATAAAACTAATATTTTTACTCGGTGACATATAGTGAAAAAGGATATTATAGTTTCTTACTTTTTGATATATAGAAGTATTAAACAATTGACAATATGTTCTTTTATCCAGGAAATGTGTTTAACAGTGGGTTATGGAAACCGCTGCTAAAATGACAATTTATACATAATAATTTATGGTTTTCCTAAAAAAAATGTACAGTAAACCCAAAACAAAATCACACACTGTTGAGTAATACTAAAACAAATAATTATAGACAGATATTGACACAAAATATACTAATTACTACAGATATGTGCGCTAAAATATGCTCACATGTAACAAAAAATCTTGCTAGTAGCATTCTAATTTAATTAAGTATTTTTATTATTCTGTACACCTTATTTTCTTACTGTCATGTTGCTAGGACGCACAACAATGTAATATTATAATATTATTGGCTCTGTGCGAGCTGTTGTCATGGCGGAACGCCGGTCGTAAAGCTGGTTACAACAGTTAAGGTCGAGATAACTGCACAAACTCAAAATTGAGGTAATCACGAAAAGAAATATTTATATTTAAACAAATTGAGTGTAGTGTAGTGTAGTGTAGTGTAGTGTAGTGTAGTGTAGTGTAGTGTAGTGCATGCCTGGCACTTGTTGATAAACATTGATTTTCCCACAATTCAATGCTCTTTTAATGGAAATCACGAGTACGAGTTTTGAACTTAGCGCGACCGCCTGTTACTTAATGCTTAGTGACGTCTCGGTTTGCGGTCTGCGTAACAGTCAAAGTCGCCATCTTTGTTCATACGAGACCCATATCTCGTGTATGTCTGGCGCAACGACCACTGCCCTTTAATGTTGATTTTATTGTAATCAACCAAAGACACTTTAGAATGCGTTTCTAAATTCGATTCCGTTGGATAAAATTTCTCATGAATTGTACATGACCCAAACCCTTATGATATGATGTTTACCTTGGGAGATTGTCTGAAGATCATATACAATGCGGGAAAGTGTGATGGTCGTCGCGCCACATAAACATTGCAGTTAATTCTAGAATTCGTGACCAATGTACACAAAACAAAGTTGAAGATGAAAAACACTTTGTTTTGAATTGCCCAGCATATAGGGCAAATAGATTTATTTAACAAAGCAGAAATTCTTTCTTTATTTGTGATGTTTGACCATTTTTATCTTCACCGGGAGATGTGGTGAGTTAATAAATATTATTATGCGTGAGATATAAACAAAGATGGCGTCTCTGACAGTTGCGCAGATCAACGAGTACAAACTGAGACGTTACCAAGCTTTAACTGTGCAATTTCTTTGGTGATTAGGAGGTATCAAAGGTATCGGTGTATTTTTATATTCGTACTGCAAGTACCTTTTTTGGCAGATTGCCAAACATACCGAAAAAAACCCAGACAGTTTAACGTGTCAATCTCACACATTTATTTGAATCACTGTTGTTACCAGGAAATGACGGATTTTATTGTTGACATGACTCTTCATGAACAACCGTAGAGACTACAATACGGTTCTTAGTGTATATTCATTTGTTATGTATTAAAACTGGGGAAGTCGTCACCTGCACATGCGTCAGATGGCCATAGCGTATCACTGTTTACAAACAAGCGTCTACCCATGAGACTTTGCGCTCTTAGCGTATGTTGTTCAATTTATCGTCGCTTGGGACTCAATTCCGCGCGTGCGCAGGTGACGACCCTCCCGCTTTAACTGACTGTAGTATTATAATTGTAGCCTGATAATACAAGCAGGCAATATATGAATAAAATACGCACACGTCTGATACAGTATTTTTTTACATTTTGGCAAAAAGATAATGCACTTGATATGTTGTTCATATAGGATGTACACACATTTTAAATAGACTATTTGCGGATGTCTATACTACGTAATATTGTTGAATACATCGACTTGAAGTTGTATTTGAAAATGCACAAGACAACAGCGAACGAGCCTACAATGTACAGACGTATTCAGACACAATGTCACGTGCATCACAATCCCGCAAATACTACTAGTCTATTGTTGGACATTCTTTCAAATTATTACAATAACACCATTAACTAGCACATTGAATAGAATTCAGGCAATGATGACGTAAGAACACAGTTAGTACAATGATGTCATATTTTTTGCAGTAGAATAAAAAATTATTCAGAAAAATCGTATTATCATATTTTACCAACCAAAGCAAAATTGACTTGAACATATTCAGATATGTGTCGTGAATCACGCTAAATCTATTGGTTTGTCAAAGCTAACATAACTTCTTCGGGCTGCTTCGGGTCTTTACGGAAATTAGATACGATTTCTTCGAACGTTTTGTTTTTCGTCTCTGGTACGAAGAAAAATGTGAATACAACAGTGCAGAACAAAAAGCACATATAGATCAGAAAGGTAAATTCACCAATGCTCTCCTGTAATAAAAAAAAAACAATGTATAAATAAATACTAAGAGGATAGAAATAAACCGAGACACCAAGACAAGAAGCAACATAAACTGATACACGAATCTGACGATAGACTGGATATATTTTTTGATTACGTCAGTAACCAGGCAGGCTCGTTCGAGGTTCGTGCACGACACGCACCATCAACGGACCATGTTTGCCCAAATAGCGGCCAAATTTGTATTTGGAATGGAGCTTGTAACCAAGTAAACATATTTTGTAAAAATACGAATAGTGTACGTTTCTTTTTATCAATGCCAAAAATCGAAATTGTACGGCAATGTAATTAGGATATATTATCCTATATGACGGCTTAATGATTTTGGATGGCGTCAAACAGACATGTGATAAACATGCAGTATCAATCCATATCTAAATAAAGACATGTCCGTGGTGCTGAAACTTGTTAAATATGCGTTGGGCTCATTCTCGAAAATTATAAACAGGGCATGTTATTATGTTGCAGCGTTCTCTCGAGTTGAACTGTGACCTACCTGTAGAACTGGGAAAGTAAGACCGACTACAAAATTACACCACCAGTTGACTTGGATGGATAAACTCATGGCAGCAGGGCGTGGTCCTTGCGACCATATCTCGGCAACAAGAATATACGGTATAGGGCCTGAAATAAATACATTATATGTGTGACTCAGTAATCATTGATACGGTGCATAATCATGTTTGGAAATTATGTACTCCATTATTCCTGTCACGTGAAACTATTTGTATGTTATGTTAATACAAACACATCGGACCAATAGCAAAGCATATACTATTCGTAGACACAGGCCTAAATTTCCTTGGCCAACAGCAAATCATTTAAAACATGCGTACACGCAGGCTTGGCTTACCTGGACCAATAGCAAAGCGTGTAACATATATCGTATACACAGGCATGACTTACCTGGACCAATAGCAAAGCATATAACATATTCGTACACGCAGGCTTGGCTTACCTGGACCAATAGCAAAGCGTGTAACATATCCGTATACACTGGCATGACTTACCTGGACCAATAGCAAAGCATATAACATATCCGTATACACAGGCCAGACTTATAAATGTCCACGCATCTTGCTCGTTTGGATCCTGAGGAATACAACGATTGGTCAAGGGTCAGAGGTCGTCACGACAACATAATACAGTCACATATTTACGTTCCAGTACAGATAATGCCACAATAACCTCTTAATATCATATTTAAAGCGCGGTAGTCGTCCCGCTGCGCATGTGCGACATTTGTGTTGATAAACATTGATTTTCCCACAATCCAATGCGTTCTTCAAATGGAAATCACAAGTATGAGGTTTGACCTGGACGCGACTTGCACTGATTACCGACGGTGACTCCTTCGATACCTTCCAATCACATGAAAATTGCCTAATTAAAGCTTGGAAACGTCTCAATTCGTACTCTTTGATCCGCGCAACAGTCAAAGTCGACATCTTTGTTTATATGAGCCCCATATATCTCGCACATGCGTGGCGCGACGACTAACGCGCTTTAATGTAATTCATATTATAACACGGTTAAGTTAGTCTGAATCTGTACATCTGATTGCCTGAAGCAAGGCCTTATAATTATACCTGGCACTAGAAAACTTGTGATCCCACCGAAAATGAATACATCTAACATAATCGACATCGCACGACTGTGAACACAGTTCATAGCGATGGACCACTGACAATGTTTCTGTTGAATTACTATT